AAAAAATACGTTCAGGCTTATCTAGCATCAGTTTCCACAGAGAGCAAACGCAAATATTTGGATGAAGATGGTGCAGTCCTCCTGACGATGAACCATTTCAGCTAATACTGAGAGCCGCCATAAAAATCCATGAAGGGGTATTTATTCTCTTTAAAGTGCTGCTGAGTCAAAGTGGAGTAAATAGTTTTTGGAAACTGCAGAAAAAGATGCTTAGAATGAAAATAAAAAAACAAATTGTGCCTGTTGCGCTTGAGAGTGCCACTTCCTTTTCCATAAGTGTCACAGTTCGTTGAGAAAAACAGCACCAGTAAATGGCTTAACGTCTGCTGCACGCTGAGCTCGGGCATTTAACAAAGCCACCGACATCCCAGGGGAAGCGACCCCCCCCGCCCCCAGCTCCCTGGGGCCGCTGCTTGTGGCTGAAGTATCAGCATCTCTGAGCTGCAGTGACAATTTTTAGAAGGAAAACAAAGAATTCTCCATGACGGGAGGGGAGGGTTTCAGGAAGCTGTAAAGGCACCAGCATCGCCCTTGCCCTGCGCTCCACCCATCAGTGAGTTAATAACAGAGGCTTGAACTGGATGCCCTCCATCCACCCTTTCTCCATCCAGCTCTGCAGGGCTTCAGGACGAGGCTGCATGTTATCTATGTACAGTGATCCTAAACAGAAAGCCCGCCCCCACCTTCAGGTTCAACTTATGGAATAGGAATTATTTTGTTAAAAAACATTTCTAAAGATGGAAGGTACAATTGCATTTCACACCATATTTATTTAATTTTTGCACTGGAGGGATGGCCTGCATTCAAAGTTTGCACTTTTACAATGATATCCCAAAGAAAGAGTAACTAACATGCTTCAAAAATAATCAAAATATGAAATAGAGTCCTGTTGTGTGATACAATCTGCAGTTAAAAACCAAATGGAGACACAGACAGATCAGGGATCATTTGGTTTAATTCTATAGCGCCAATGTGTCATCAATTCTATCAAATCATCTAGTCAGATTGATTACGTTTTCTTTCTGATTAAACACAGATTTCCTCCTCCTGGATGTGTATATATACGGCCAGATGAAACCCCCTTGCATTGTGTGATTTTGGCCAGCTTGAGGGTCGTGGATGCTACGATGGATCAAGCATAAATCCGCCTTTATTAATGAGCCACTGCGTCCATACTGATTCAAGTTGGCACAGGGGCCTCTCGTCCAGACAGCCCTAACTGAAGTAAATATATATATATATATATATATATATATATATATATATATATATATATATATATATATATATATATATATATATTATAATTACATGTATATGTATGTACTATGGATTTAAAAAAAAATTATCGACTTAAGAATAGTAATTTTTAATTTTTGTTAAATGAAAATTTGTTCCATCCAATTAGCTAACATCCGCTTAAAAGAAATGTTTTTCTGTTTTGTAATCTTACTGCCTTCCTGTAGAGGGCACTGTTATTCATTCTTATGTGGAGCCTTACTGGTATTTGCAAGAGAACTAAAACCACAGCAGAGGCTTGCTAAAACAGAAACATGAATCGATCAGAGTCCGGTCAGAGATTATTTACACTTATTTACTACAAAACTCAGTTTTTTAGGAAAATTAGTCCACTTTAGACACACTACGGAGAAAACTCATTTCCACCGCTGGTATCTGGGATCTCGTTCTTTTGGTCATGACCATAGATGAGGGTAGGAACGTAGGTCGACCGGTAAATCGAGAGCTTTGCTTTTTGACTCAGCTCTTTCTTCACCACCACAGACCGGTACAGCGCCTGCTTCACAGCAGACGCCGCACCAATCCGCCTGTCGATCTCCCGCTCCATCTTCCCCTCATTCGTGAACAAGAGCCCAAGATACTTTAACTCCTCCACTAGGGGCAGTAAAGGAGAAGGCACTCTACCCTTTTCCGGCTCAACACCATGGTCTCGGATTTGGAGGCACTGATCCTCATCTGCTTCACACTCGGCTGCAGACCGCTCCAGTGAGAGCTGTAGATCACGCCCTGATGAAGCCAATAGAACCACATTATCTGTGAATAACAGAGACGCAATCCTAAGGCCACCAAAACAGATCTGTTCCTAAAAATATTGCTCATAAAAGTTATGAACAGAATCTGTGATTAAGGGCAACCTTGGCAGAGTCCAACCCTACCAGGAGATGTCTCCCTTAGAGATAGGGTGAGGAGCTCAGTCATTCAGGGAAGGACTCAGAGTAGAGCCGCTGCTCCTCCACATCGAGAGGAGCCAGTGGAGGTGGCTTGGGCATCTGATTAGGATGCCTCCTGGACATCTCCCTGGTGAGGTGTTCCAGGCACATCCTACTGGGAGGAGGCCCTGGGGGAGACCCAGGACA